AAAATATTATACTGTTTGATTAGTTAATTAGTAAAATTTCTCACATAATAAAGAGAAATAGGCCTGTAATTAAGGGACGGGGAGTGTATTACTTTATAATGATGATAGACCAGTGAAATTTTGATTGATTTAGGAGTAAACTGAGCGAGCCAAAAGACAAAAGGGCAATTATAAAGTCATCATTATTTTTATAGTTAGGTTAGCCAAGTGTATGTCCCCCACAACCCCTTGAGCAGGGACATATAAAATCCAAGATAGAAGAAGCGGTTGATGATGGGATAGATTTGATAGATACAATGTTAACAGAATGGTATGATGAGGTTATGATTTTGAATTGATAGAGAAAGGGATTGGAATGAATGAATTTAATGCAATTTAATTTTATAAAAAATGAAAATAAAATAAATTTAAGTTGTCAGAAGAAAAAAGGTGAGTTTAATTAATGTGGTTTTGTTTGTCTTGTTTGTTTATATGTGTATATTTTTTTTGCATGTTTATACAATGAACAGCTCCAGAGAAGAGACAGAGGGTACCATCTGCCTATAACAGATTTATCAAGTTAGTACCCTTTTTTCCTACCTTCTTATTTATTTCATTAATTTAATTATGTTAGTACTTTATGTCCAATTTCGCAAATTGTAGATGAAAATAATTAATTGATATTGTGTCCGTCCAAAATGTATAGCCAGGTTACTATTTTATTTAAGCTAAGTTATATAAAAAAAAAAATGTATTAACATGATTCATCCGGATAAAAGAATAATTAACGCTGATTACTAATGAAAAGACATGTAATGGTTTTATAGGGACGAAATTCAACGAATCAAAGCCGGAAATCCTGATATTAGCCACAGGGAGGCCTTCAGTGCAGCTGCCAAGAATGTAATGAAATCTTTGAAGTTTCTATGCCTGTTGGTTTTAAGTTTTATTATATAAATGACTAATTTTAGAATTTGGGTATTATTCAAAAATTGCTCAAAGATTATTGATTTTCTATTTGTTTTGCATGTAAAAAAGTGGGCCCACTTCCCACACATTCATTTCGGCCTTATGCCTGACCATCAACCCGTGAAGAAGGCTAACGTGCGCCAGCAGCAGGTACTACTCCCTCTATGTAGCCCTAACCCTAGCAAATTGTACTATGGAGTTTTATTTTTTTCTTCAAAATAAATAACTTGTAATAAAAAGAAAAAATAATTTCCATTTGCATAAACATTAACAAATGTTCATCTTCTAAGATATTAGTATGATATCTATCAATAATTTGTTAAACATATAACTCGTCAATGTTAATTACTACTCAAGTGTATGTGCTATAAACTCTTTCTGTCTGAAATTATTTAGTCATATTCATGTTATATATCGTGAATTTGATTGGAATGCAGGAAGGAGAGCACGATCAAGTTATGATGAAAGAAGGGTTCTTAGCTCCTCAAGCCAATGTGAATGTGGGTGTAGGTCCGTACTAAGAAGAATCAACAACAAACTAAAAATTAGTTATAAGCTAGAAAAATTTAAAGCAAGCAGCATTTGGATCAAGTACTAGTACTAGTACTACTACTTTGTGTTAAAAATTCCGTAGGATTTTCTTTCTTTTCCCTCTCTTTTAATCATTAGTTTTTCACTAGGTGCTTCTCTCTTTAATTTGCACTTAATTAATTACTTCAAGGAGTAATTAAAACTTAAAATGAGAAGAAGTACTAGGGAAAATTATTGAAGTGAGCTTAGCTTGTTATATATATTAATGGTATTGTTAAAACTTCTTAACAGCTAATGATCCTTTTAATTAAGCTAACGTAGTGTCATGTTAATTGCTTTTGTTCATTGTGTATTTCAATTACTTATGCTCTAAACTAAAGACTTTCTAATAAGTTAGAATTAAGTATTTTCGAATTGTCTTAGATCATATATGACACTACATCTTAGATTTTCCACAAGATTATATGAGGAAAATAGAGATTTAGTTGGAGCTTAAAGTGGTAAGGATTAAAGTGGTGAATAATATGATATGGAGTACGTGAAGCTTAGGTTGTGAATAAAGATGGAAAAGGATGGTGGATACATATACGAGTATCTTGAAAGATCGAAAAGAAAACAAACGAATCACAAACCTCAATAGTTATTGAATGATCGAATTAATATAATTTGTTAATCGATGTAGATGACACCAGACCTAATTAATTGTCGTCGATGAGGCATATGTGATATGCCCTATATAGTGTATGTACATACAAGATCAACTCTAAATGTACACATGATTGGGTAAAAATTGATATCGGATAAAATTCTTTTAGCTAAGGTAGGTAAATTGGCAATGACAGCAAACCTAAGTACCTAACTACCCATCCCAGATAATAGATGATTAATTTCTGTAAAACTTTGTACAGTCAAGTTTGTAAATTTCCTTTAATTAATAAGGAAATAGAAAATCTTGATGAAGAGGTGGAGAGAAATTAAAATATTTATTTTTTTAAGTAATTACACAAAATCATCCTCCATAACAAATATCTTCATGTTTATGCATGATCGATTGAGATCACTATCATTTTAATACATTTCAGTATTACAAGTATGGAGTACTACTTATCTAAAACACCAGGTACAATTACCATAGTACTTTACCCTCCAAGAAAGGCCCATGTTACTATTTCACAAGCTAATGGGACAAGCCCCTAAATAGTACGAAGTATACGAATACTTCGTATAATTGACACCCAAGCCAAAAAGGCTCTTGTAAAAAAAAAAAAAAAAAAAAAAGGTGCTATTATAATTTTTTATGCTTTTCAAGATGTACAATTAACCATCAATTTATTTTATTACATATTTGAATAATTTAAAAAGTAAATATATTATATAAATAAAAAAAAGTAGTCAAAGTTTTTAAAGTTTTTCACCATGAAAGATAAAAACGGTCACTTTATATATATATATTGGGTGGTTTTTTTTTTTAATTTTTTTTTAAAGTTGGTAAAGAGAAAGGCCCTACCGGGCCGAATCCTCTCACAAGTTCTCTCGGCCCAGGTTAGCGGGCTAGGCACTTTAAGAGTAGAGGGAAAGGGTAAGGGAATCCCCAACTCAAAGTGCCTTTAGTAGGAATTGAACCCCCAACCTCAATGTTGGGGAGGGGTATAGGATAATATAAATTGTCAACCATACATTAGAAGCAGCCTAGCAGCAATGTTATTTATAAGGTAATGACTTTACTGAGATACACAAATCTAGCAAATTGCCATTGTCAACTATGTACTTTTTTAAAAAAAAATAATAATAAATAAATAAATAAATAAATAAAAAAAGGTTATAAGAGAATCTTAGGCTATAGATTATTAGTCAGATCTCTCATCTAGCAGGATCTAATACTATACTATAGCTGTATTTAAGTATTTATAGGTTGAGTTTATAGTAAAGTTGATGTATGTGTTTGACATAAATATATATTTATAATTGTATTTACTACTGACTTATTGAGTACTTATTTATAGATTCCTACTTGTTTGTATCTGCCCCAACATATCTGTCCTTTCTACTTTAATGAAATTACCCAACTATCTAATGTCACATTTGAATTGACATCAATCCCTGTCCAATCATAACATATATTTGTACTATAATTATCTAACTGTCATCTCATTATTAATAAATCTACACTGCATATGATATGTATGCAGAGTTTGAGGAATAGACCTTGTTCTTTTTGACTTATTTACAGTTCATTTCAGGTCGTTTTTACTTCAATAATTCAGTTTAATTCGGTTCAACTTGAAATAACGGGGCTATACTGATATGGAGTCATCTTTTTTTCAAATAAGTCATGAAATTACAAGTTACAGGTGAGAAAAGAGAATTCGAACCTGACATTACGTACACAATTGCTTAGTCTTTGCATCTAGGCCCCAACACCTTATTCGCTGTGATTTTGTAACATATAGATCTGAAATTTTTGGATCAACAACATTTAACATCAATGATCTTGTTATAAGTTTATCATAATGCATACTTTTTAAAAAAAATCAACTATCGATATAGTTAACTCATTAATAATAAAGATATTAATGGTCAAAGTAGGTTTATGTGTAAAAGTCAAATTAATACAGATTTAACGAAATGAGGTACAGTATGAGGTGGCGACGAAGAAGGAACCAAGTTTGATTCTTATTTCAATCCATGACACTAAGACGGGATTGGGAATAGGAGGTTCATGTCAACAAAAACTGAGAAATGAATAGGAATTAGCATTGATCAATGTGGTAAACTCTAAAGTACATACAAAGTACAAAATACTATTTACAACGATTTAATTTTAAATTGTTAAACAGCACGTACACAATATACAAGATAATTTTTCCTTCATTTTTCTTCAAAATGAATAAAGACATCCACATTTAGATCATGGAGAATTGTAAAACCACTGTTAAAATTGAATTTATGAAGATCACAAATTTTAATTAAAGTTGCATTACATGCGTTGGCCATAGTGTAGAATATTGGAATCTGATCAGTTTATCATAATTACAGCAAACACATGAATCTCAGGAAAATGGAAAATGTTCCATAAAAATAAGCAGCTCCCAGGAAAACAGGGGATGGAGATAAGAACATCTAATCTGCTCCTTCAGTGGGGAAACTCATCATAACTACTTGCAGGAATACTGTACAAAAACATGCACGAAATTTGGTTTCTTTTTTTTTTTTTTTTTTTAAATACAAAGATGCAGGGACAGAATGAGGAAGTGAGGGGATACAAGCACTTGTGCCGGTGAGGTGCAGCTCTTTAGTAGCCGCCCTTATCTAACATATCCCGTCGCAGTGTAGACCCGGGTTTGAGACACATTGTCCCCCCGCCCTCCCTGAGATAGGGAGCTGCTGTTTCCTTACTTGAAAAGGGGGTAAACAAAGGTAGAACCAAGCATTGCAGTTTGCTAACTGTGCTAAGATCAAGAAGTTTCCCAGAAAATCACAGTTGAATCAAACAAAATCAGAGTCCTTAGTGATACTGTGATTCATACCACATGTGCTAAGAATTCATTCTTTCCACCTGAAAACCCCATATCTGAAGTTTTTTTCCTTAAAAAGAATTTAGGGGAAGAAAACAAAGCCTGAAATTTGCTCATTATAACAGACCACCGCATTGGATGAGAAATACCCAGTCTCAAGAATTCTTTGGACTCGAGCTGGAGTCCAAAGAACACGTAAAAATAGCATTAATAGCGAACTGAGAAGGGCCGACTGCAGGTGGCCCTTCAGCAAATTTGAGAGGCAGTCTGAGACTCAGAGTGATTTTGTAAATTTTAAAAGGATTGTCCATTTTTACTTGTTATGGAGCCAACAATTGACCCATGGATGACCCTCAGTCATAAGCATTCATGGTTCTATGACAAAAAGAAATGTCACATCAAGCATTGTGACCAAACAGCACAACTGAGCAAAGAATGTGCTCCAGAACCACTGGAAAACACTGCTAATGCACCTAAAAACTAGACATAAGAACATGTACTGATTGTGATCTCGAGTGTTAACTTACCGACAGAATACAGGTAACTGGACATTCAACTTTCAAGTAAAATTCTCAATATGATAACTCGGAATGTGAAATTGCATATGTAATGCAGTCATGTTACTCATGTACAACAATCAGATAAGCAGCGCAAAAATAGCAGTATTGGAGCAATTATCCAGTTAGCTTGTCAGATGAAAACATTCAAGCAGATGCAAGTATCATAGAAATTGTGATCCCTTCCTGAGGAAGATGGCTTTGTGCTCGTCTCAACTCAACTGTCATTTACTTTCTTAAGAACCCACACCCTCCTACAGGAAGGGATTTTTTAACTTAACACGGGGGTTTTCCAGCATGGCACTTCCATAGTTGTCTAGGGTCTTATTTTGAATGAAAGTAGTTGTCTTTATCAATGAGAAAATGAGATTGCTAAATAAAATACAGTCATATCCCTTTATTCAAAATGAGAACCAGAACAAGAGCTATGTTAATTTGACAAAATTAATTGAACTGTTGTTATACAATGTAATATGAACCTAAATGATAAGTAAAATTCAATAACAAAGCTGCCATATGAAAGACTGGTATATATACAGTTAAAGGTAACAACAATATACACATATTGCCGTTTTCTCTCTTTCTCAATACAAGATTTAGTTACACAAATTAATTATGTATTCACTCTCAACAAGAACCTTCCAACGTACTGTACGTAGTACATTTTCATGAGACTAGTTTACAAGCATTCTTTACATTTAATCCTATGGACTCAACATACAAAACAAAACTAAGAACACAAATAATACGAAGTATATGGAATATGAGCAAAAACTGGGATCCTCTTTAACAACTGTACCTGGAGAGGGAACAACAACCTTCAGTGGTATTGAAAGCCAAGCTCTCCAGCTTCACAAATCGACTCTCATCTGCCTCTCAGGGATACTGAACCGGCATTTGTGCAAACTCTCATTTGCAAAAGACAATTAAAACATGTCATCATAGCTGATGCTTTCCAGAAACACATAACATCACCCGATTCTCTAGAAGCCAAAAATTTTGGAACACTAACTTGGGCTCAATATGCAGTTACTTTGATCCTAGTCACACTTTCATAATGAATTTCGAGATCATTAGTCTCACTTAATCTACGGATTACATGCCTATCAAATAAACCTGTGACTGAATAATTGTCTGCCCAATCTTAAAGCCAGGAACTACTGTGAATCCGACCTTTGGCCTTGTTTTGCAAGGATATTTACATCTCCTAGTTACATCCTCCATGTATACCATTGAAAACTCAACATCCCTCTCCACTTGGAATATATCCACAACAGGATCAAATGAAAAGGCAAGCTTATGCAATGCCCAAACTGAGCTTGCCATCTTGACGAACGACTCATAAAATTCACCCAATGATTTCCATGAATTTATTATAACTTCATCCTGATCCAAGTTGTTGAAAATTGAAGATTCCATAGTTGGGTGGATGAGATCTTGATACTTCCTCTCGCAAAACTTTGAAAAGTCACAGTTTGGATTCTTTCTCAAGATCTCCATTGGATTGACTAATACATGCTCCTTTAACTGCTGTAATGAAACTTTCTCCTCGCCCTTAGAGGATGGAACATGACCATTGCAAACATCGCCTTCCTTACCTAACCCGAAATCCTCCAAATCAAACCCTTGAAACATCCTCAAACAAACATATGACAACAAAGCATACCGATTGTGCGCCTTCTTAACATAATCAACACCCGAATACACTGAACTTGCCACCAAATCCAAATCCCAATGTGCCTTCTTCATCAACCCAATCAATACCTTCGTAAACCTATGAGAATAACTAAATGCCTCACATAACATCCTATCAAACACTCTAACTGTTAGCAAAATTTCAGAACCCTCCTCCTCCTCCTCCCTTGAAGAACCAAGGGACAACCTTTTCAACAACCTCGAATTCACCCGATTCAATCCCTCCAATTTCCGCCTCAAACTCGAAACCTCCTCATCCTTAACATCAATTTCAGACTGTAAACGATTAAACACAGACTTAAGAGCCCTAAGCTTATGCTGATTCTCATTAACTTGAAATTCTAAACAAGACCCAGTTGAAAATTCAACACTAAAATTAGGGTTCTGGTAGTAATTCTTATACAACTGCTTAAATTCAGAAAGGGTCTGAAGATGAGAAACTAAAGACTCATCAGCATTCCTTAATACTTCCGCATCAAAAACAGGAACATGGGCAGTTTGCAATTGAAGATAAGAAGCCTCAAACGATGAAATTGAAGCAAACAATGAAGTAATTAGGGTTTGATTAAATTGGGGATTTGGGGGAACTTTACCTTTCTGAGAAATTGGACCAACTTCTTGAGGTGGGTCAGGCTTATTTACAACGACTTTCTGATTGGAGATGAATTCATCGGGAGTACCATCATCACCAGCATCAAGGAGAGAGAATTTTTCAGAATCATCAGCAAAAAATTCAAGAGCTTTGGATTTGAAAGAGAAGGCGAATTTCTGGAACATTTCAGAAATTTGAGGGGGTTTGATTGATCCCTCCATTTCCGGCATAATTAATAGAGGTATTTGATTAAAAAAAAGCAAGTGTGAAATGATGATGAATCAAGGACTTTCCAGAAAGTTGTTCGACATCAAGAATTATTTTGGGGGAAGGAGATGAACAGAGAGAAGAAAGGAATTAGGATGATTATTTTACCGTTGTGGGGATTAGGTGATTACGGGGGATAGGGAAGTAGTGGAAGTAAGGAATGAGTGTAGGTGGGGGAGTGTGAATTACGGATTATTCGGGACGGAGGGAGTACTATTTTACGGAATACTTACTAAATTGGTATCAGTATTGGGGTGAGCATGGGACGGGTACCCATACCGTTAGTACTAATGGTTCGGGTACCTGATACCCAAAATCCCTATAAGTGATATCCATATCCCGAACCGATAAGTTCGGGTACCCGGATTTTTGGATCGGTTATCGGGTACCCAATAAGATATCCAATAATGATAATTAAACTTAATTATGTAGTTATTATAATATAATTTACCACTAATTAACAACAATATCATATAATTTTGACCAAATTATTAATAATATTATAAATCATTGATATTATAAAATAGTTATATAATAAAGTAAGAGTTTAAATTTTAAAAAAATAGATTTAAGTAGGAAAAAAAAAGCAAAGAAATGCTTATCAGAACGGATCGGGTAACCGTTAATTTTAAAATGATACCCAATAACCATACCCGATAACAAATTATCGGAACGGGTACCCGAACCGTTATAGTTATCGGATCGGGTACCCTAGTTTTCGGAACAGTTATGGATCGGTTTTTCGGGTTTTCAGTTTTTCGGGTAGTTTTGCTCAGCCCTACTAGTACATATGAGCTTTTGGTTAAAATGGGTTTGAAAATTTTGTGTTTGAAAAATAATGGGTGAACGTGTATATTGAAAGTTTTACAATATTCTACATGACTGTATCGTTTATATGAGTTGTTTGTGCTGGATTTAAAATGATATCGATATCGGATTAGCACCTAATTGGCTCAAGTTCCTAGTTGAGTAGTTGTAATAAGAATAAATTTATTAATTTATTTAATCACAATACTATATGAGTGGACTTTTTGTTTCATTGACCATTAGAATAATGTATCTAATTGTCCTTTTAGATCTCTTTAATAATTTTGACTTTTATTTATTTAATGAAAACTATAAACTCAATTTTCATATACCAAATGATGGTAGAGATGATATATGAAGGATTTTATGAGTTTTGATGATTAAGATTGTTAAGTACTTTAATATTGACAATGAATCAATGGTTATATCATCAAATCTTCATTATAAATAATTGAGCTTGTAGATCACATATAACAATAAAACAAATTAATATGCAAACAATACAGTGTACTTTTTTTTGAAGACAACAATACAGTATACTTTGTACTCCGTATAATTTATTGGTTTGATACTTGTAGCTTTCTTTTTCTCACTTTAAATGCTTTCGGTTGTGTTATGACAAATTTAATGAACGAATTTTCCCACTGAGTCAATAAGTACTACATATCAAAATAATACTACTCGTAGTACCTTTTACAAATCAATTTTATGTACGAATGCATTTAATTAATACTATAATTTATCATTTATGTATTTCATAGAGCTAATTGCCTAATAATCATTGCAAATAAATATTATTACACATCCCTAAAGTTTATTGGTACTATTATTAGAAAAATCTAGGATACCACTGCTATTTTAACATAATGGGAAACAAGATCTAGACCATAAGAAACATGATCTACCATTACAACTCACTAACTTTGACTAGTCTTTTAAGGAGTGAAACATAGTTTAGGACTTTAGGGGCTCAATAATTGTTTGCTCCACAAAGTGATCACAACTTTATATGAAACTTATAAATTCCCTTTTTTATATTTAACTTTTATCACGTTAGTTCTTTTGCTCATTTATGTGTTTTTTACTTTATGCCTAAAAAAATAAATATTAGTTATAAATTAGAATAAGAACTTCATGCAAAAATTGCAAAACCCACCTTTATAACGCACAAAGTTAACTTTTGATTTGTAAGGCTTCTACTTCATGCATAGGCAATGATTGGGACGTTTTAGGAAACTAAGCTTCGTTACGAAAGTAATTACAAAAATGGTTGCGTGGCAAAAGTATTTACAAAAATAAGCTTCTGGGGTAAACCGCTGCCTCGGGCAGCGTTTTACTTTCTATTTTTTTTAAAAAAAAAAATCTGCTACAAAAACGCTGCCCCAGGCAGCGTTTTTATAGTTTGACTTTTTTTTTTCCTCGTTTATTTTTTTTAAAATTAATTAAAAAAAAGGCAACAGCATAAAACGCTGCCCCAGGCAGTGTCTTATGCTTAAACATAAGACGCTGCCTGGGGCAGCGTTTTATCTGTATATGTTTACAGGTAAAACGCTGCCCCAGGCAGCGTTTTACCTGGTTGGCAGCACCAAACCAGTTTCTTGCCCCAACCCTCAACATCCTTCCAACACCACCCCCAACCTCCTTCCACCACCTCCAACCCCTTTCCACTACCGCCCTCCACCACCACCGCCTTCCACCACCACCACCACCACCTTCCACCACCTCCAACCCCTTTCCACCACCGCCCTCCACCACCTCCAACCATCACCTCCACCACCTTCCACCTTCCACCACCACCGCCTTCCACCACCTCCAACCACCATCTTCCACCACCACCTCCAACTATCACCTTCCACCACCGCCTTCCACCGCCTTCCACCGCCGTCCACCACCTTCCACCCCGACCTCCCACCACCACAACCACCTTCCAACAACCGTCCACCACCACCTCCAACAACCTTCCACCACCACCACCTCCAACAACCTTCCACCTCACACCACTACCTTCCACCACCACCGTTGACAAGTCAATATATACATAAATCAAAACATATTGGGAAACAAAGAACATAACACACAAATGTTGACCGAAAAATATTTATTATATTAGAAATGTAAATGTTATATACCTAATCTATACAAAAATTTTACTACATGAAATAACTAAGCTAACACTATCCCGATTCATCTATCCGGGGCAATTGATCTAGGTCAGGTTGCTCGGCCCTCTGTCTGACACGCCGCCGCCTGTAATGAGTAATGGTGGTGAATGGGTCTAGAGGCGGCGGGGGAGTCAGCTGGCTGGTATCTGGCACCTCCTGGGAGCCGGACGGCGCAGTGCTGTGGAAGGTGTAGTCCTCTGAGAATGTCGGCGTCGTAAAATCACCTCCACAACTACTCTGTCCGAGCTCGAACTGCGAATGCATCGAGTGACCATCATACGTGTCCCGTTGGGGGACGAGGTAGTCGTGTCCATATCGACGCAAGCTGGCCATGCCCATATCCCGAACTCGCTGGACCTCGTTCCCGATGGGCCCGTCAGCCAGGCTAAGGGACAGCGCGTCAACCATCGATGCCATGTCTGCCGCCTGCAATAATCATTGATCAGTTATGCATAGAAACCTAAAAAGAGATGAAAATTAATCGGTTGGAAGTGAAACTCACATATCCATAAATCACGTCATATGCTGGATGGTAATGGGTGGAGGGAGGTGTGTAGCTGGGGTTGATGAAACGCCGGGTAATCCGCTGGTACCAGACCATGTACGGATTGTGAGGCTGGAGGTGGTGGAAGGTGGTGGTGGTGGTGGAAGGCGGTGGTGGTGGAGGGCGGTAGTGGAAAGGGGTTGGAGGTGGTGGAAGGAGGTTGGGGGTGGTGTTGGAAGGATGTTGAGGGTTGGGGCAAGAAACTGGTTTGGTGCTGCCAACCAGGTAAAACGCTGCCTGGGGCAGCGTTTTACCTGTAAACATATACAGATAAAACGCTGCCCCAGGCAGCGTCTTATGTTCAAGCATAAGACGCTGCCTGGGGCAGCGTTTTATGCTGTTGCCTTTTTTTTTTAATTAATTTTAAAAAAAAATAAACGAGGAAAAAAAAAGTCAAACTATAAAAACGCTGCCTGGGGCAGCGTTTTTGTAGCAGAATTTTTTTTTTAAAAAAAATAGAGGGTAAAACGCTGCCCGAGGCAGCGGTTTACCCCAGAAGCTTATTTTTGTAAATACTTTTGCCACGCAACCAAATTTGTAATTATTTTCTTCGGGAAGCTTAGTTTCCTAAAACGTCCCAATGATTGCCTTCCATGAATTCATGCAAGAACTTAGAAAGTGTAACAAATTAAAAATAGGAGTGAGAAAGTAAGGCTAAACATATTGAATTACCTTTAAAAATAAAAATAAATTTTAAAAAAAAATAATAACATATGCTGTAGCATGTTGAACTTATTCTTTAACCAATGTATACATTTATATCCATAATTAGATCATCAATTTTATCACTTGTTTCTATAATGTGGTGCGACAAGCTTTAGAAATCAAGACGAATGAAATTTGTTGGCCGACTTAGGGTGTGAAAAATGGTGCTCTCATTTGAATTACACAAGTTTTAATTTGTGTGGTCTAATCTCTAAATTTAATTAAACTTTGACATTATAAATATAGTACTTAAATAATATAAAACAAAATTCTTCCAATATTAAAAATGTAAAACGAAAATATGGAGGTATAAGCTTTTGAAATAAGATGAAGAGAGAAAATCCTTAATCGTTGCTAAACTCAGAAGGTATGAAATCTATTAGTGTGTGCAAATTTTTAATATGTATACCTCATTTGAATTAATAAATGAGTTTGGTTCTTGAGCGTGCACTCTTGTAAGACATGAATGCCTGAATTTGAGTTAAATACAAACTAATCTTTATGAAAATTTTCAAGCATTTTCGTATAATACAGCAAGTTTAAAACAATTTAACAAGTTTATTTTTCATTAGCAAAAGAATTCTCAAACATATACTAGTGACTCAAACTAGTAAAATATTTTTATGTGATCCATGTCATTATTGGGCCTATTGGCCAAAGCCTAGTAAACTCACACTAGTAAGAACCAGAAAGAAGTGCATAAACCAGTAGCTTAAGCAAGCCTCCTGCTCAAACTCGGCGCAATATCAGTCAAGAAATAATAGTACAGAGCTTGCAGAAACAGATATCAGTATGCCAGCAGGCCAATAAAAATTGCTACCCTCGAATCAACCTCGTTCAATTGATCAGCTTCCTTGACTCTAAGAAACAATAGCCAGCATTAGCAATGCATCCAATTCCATACGCTTGTTACATAAGCTCCTGCAAGGCTGCAAGGATGGATGTTAAGCATAAGGATTTCGGGCTTTGGCTGGTGACAACTATGCCTGATTAAATTTGTGCTGGTGAAAACTGAGGGCAATTGTGTACATTGTTAGATAACAAAACTAGAAAACTTGCCTCATATCTTTAATGGAGTATACTTTGTCAATCCTTAAGCGATGATTTGTTAAGTCCCTTCTGTATGCGATATCCAGATGCTGCATTTGTCGGAGGAAAGGCTGATTAGTAATAATCACAAGTTCACTTATGCAGGAACAAAAACAAGACCAGTAATGAAATTTAAAATGAATCAAAACCTTGCAGCATCCCAATGCTTCCGTTGATGGAAACAGCATATCCCTTGAGGTTGTGACCTTCAAGTCCTGTAAAAACAAATTTCAAACACAAAGAAATTATAGTTAGCCTGTTGGAAAGGCAAATCATCCTAATTGTAGCAGCGTGATGATATATTTGAAACACCTATCACTAAAGTCTAAAAATAAAATGTACTAAGTTCTATCAGAGTTATCTGAGGCTCTGAGCTATCCCTTCCATTATTGAGCTTTAGATTTTGACCATTAACATAATTCAGTACATAATTATGTATCATTTGAACAATAGTCCATAAGACTTATTTTGATATGAATAAACAAAGACACTTCTTTGGCAAAGAAACACGAAAACATTGCTGCTCCTCTGCCTCAGAACTGCAGAGTTAATCAGCTGATAAACTAACAATTTAAACCTAAGATCAGCTTCTAAAAAAAAACTAAGGCTAGCAGCTTGAATGCCATAGCTAATAAGCTTCACTAAAAGAAAAGAGGAAGACAGAAAACAGTACACAGTTTTTATTCTTTTGAAGGACAAACCTTGGTGAAAACTGAACACCCTATCAATTATCCAGGTAGTAATAAGTCCCTGCTGATTTCTGTTCCCTATCCTTTGCGGAATCAAGCTTGTTAATCCTTGGTCGATAATTAGTTGGGTCCCTTCTGAATGTAATATCCGGATGCTGCAATTTTTTCGAGTTATAGGTTGACATAAATTATAGTTCAATAGTCCATATAGCATAAATATGATTAAGATGTAGAAAGAAATTCAAACTAACCGATAAGAAAAGATTCATTCCCTTCAACAACGACTGAGGAGAGGTTGCAGTACAATCCACCGATGGTGTCCCTTCATAAACAATTACTCTGTCTGCAAGATATGTTGCCATTATGAAATCATGCTCAACAACAAATGCAGTCTTTTTGGCATGGAGAATAAATCTCTTTATCAACTTAGAAGCCACAATACGCTGCACAGAATCCAGATATGCACTTGGTTCATCTATCAAATAAATGTCTGCAGGCTGCATGAGTACAAAATGGTTAGTATTAACTGTGTCATACTTCTTATGAAACATACATTTCAGCCATTCACTTAAGGCAGAAAATAAGGATCCATATAAAGGCAGTCGATAAACAATATAGCATGGTGTAGAGACTTCCTGTCACCTAAAGATGCTAAAGGGTAAAGAACATGTATCTTCACAAAATGTACTACAATATATACTCAATGATTCGACTCATGAAAATAACCACAGACTGAGACATAAGAAAGAGGTAGAACAGATACAGGAAATTAGCTAACAAATCTACCTTTCCTAGACACACAGCTAATGCAACTCTTTGCAATTCTCCACCAGATAAATTTTCGACTTGCTGATCCATTAACTGCTGTATCTGAAGAGGCTTCATGACATCTGAGACAAACTGTGGTAGAGTGTATGAATCCATTATCTTCCTATGTAAATACTCCCTCACGGAACCTTTGAACGTTGGACTAATCTTCTGGGGCTTGTAAGAAACATTGAATTCAGGTACTTCCACATCCGAAGCTTCCACAGTATCTGGCTTCAATTTACCAGCCTGAAAATTCAAAATTGAAACTAACCTCAGATTAAGTATATATTTCTGAGAAAATTTAAAGATTTATGAAAAGAAAAAATTACCAGCATCTTAATAAATGTTGTCTTCCCAGTTCCATTTTCTCCCAGCATCACAATAATCTGTGAATCTGTAAATTCACCTTCCATTACACACATTTTAAAACCACCCAGAGTTTTTGTCATCGTTGGGTATTTGTATAGAGCATATGACTCAATCTCCTCAGCATTAGGTGTCTCAGCAACCTGAATATAATCAAACATGAGTTAATTGACAAAATAAAAGAGCTACTGGAAGTATGTTATGTACAAGGAAGCATACCTTGAATGTAAGAGATTCAGCACGAAAACGAAGATTTTCTGTAGGTATGAATCCTGCCAAGAATATATTGATTCCTTCTCTAACAGAATAAGGCAGGGTCACAACTCCATATGCACCCGGTTTACCATATAAGCAACAAATAAAGTCTGATAGATAGTCTAAAACACTAAGATCGTGCTCCACGACAATGACATAGCTGAAACACAAGATTAAACAAGGAAAAATCAGCTAATCAGTTACTAGTAGTTATCTTCCTGTACAACTCCAAAAAAGAAGTCAAGAAAGATCAAATATGAAACTATACCTTTGGGGGTTCAGCAATGATCTGATAACTTCGGCAGCTTTGAGCCTTTGTTTCACATCCAAATAACTTGAAGGTTCATCAAACATATATATAACACCACTACGCATAGCCACAGCTGCAATCGCAAACCTCTGCAGTTCACCCCCTGATAGATCTCCCACTTTACGATCTTCAACTTTATTCAGCTCCAGATCATTGCAGAGAGAAGCCTTCATGTCCTTCTCGTCTATTTTAGCTAAGACCTCTCCAACATTGCCCTGTACTTCCTTTGGAATGTTATCTACATACTGTGGCTTGATTTTGGCCTATTCACACATAGACGAGGCAACATTAAACAACAAGAAATGCTCATTCCACATTCAGCACATTATCCATGACACCATCACGAAAAGGACTCATTAAGTAAATACTGAATGAGTAATACAGTAATCATCATTTCATATTTTTTGGTGTAAGAAAGAAGTAAAAGTACAATGAATCAAGAGGGTATAGCCACCTTCAGATTATCTTCCAATATGCGCATAAAATACTTTTGCAGTTCTGATCCGCGGAAATAAGTTAAGATTTCCTGCCAGTTAGGCGGATTCTGCAGAAAAACATATAGTATAAGTATATTCAGTAAATAAGAAAAAGATATCAGGAAGCAATAACAAAAAGTCATCAAAATTAAGCATATTACATCAAATCTCCCCAAATTGGGCTTCAATTTTCCAGCCAAAACTTTGAGAGCAGTAGTCTTCCCAATACCATTTGTTCCCACTAAGCCAAGAACTTGTCCTGGTCTCGGAACAGGTAACCTGTAATTAAGAAACTCTACAGTTAAGACCTCAAAAGAATCAAAAGAATTCATCATCAACACACCACATATCAACTAACTAACCTATGTAATTTGAAGGTGTTGGGGCCATAACGATGTGTTGTATCTTTGTTCAGATCTTTTGGGAGATTAATGATCTGAATTGCTCCAAAAGGGCATTTCTGCATCCATCAATCCACAACCAAAACAAAAGTAATAATCAAACACGCTGAACAACCATAATACATCATGTGCATGTGAGAACATATATATGTGTATGAGTTAGTGTAAACAATGATAAGTAGCACAGTTTACAGTGATGACCTGAGTACAAATACCACAACCAATGCACAGTTCCTCTGAGATGAACGCGAGTTTTTTATCTTGTGTTACTGATCTAATCTCAATACATCGTTTCCCTGAAATTGAGAAAGGCTAATCAGATCCTGTTGGGGCACAGATAGATCATATGGTTTGCAAAGCATATATTTCATTAAGAAAAATAACTTAATACACATAGATAAGTTTTTTACACAAGTGAGCAAATGAATGCATCATGAACAAATGAAGATTGGTTTACACAAAAACAATTGCATACCTGTCTGAACAGGACAGCTCTTTTTACACTCCAGACTGCAGTTTTTGGGCTTGCAACGATCAGAGTTCACTATCGCAATACGTGGAAAACGGTCTTTCATCATGACTCTCGTACTTTAGAAGAAGAAAAAACAACAAACTTCAGACTTGACAAGAACAAACAACAACAACCAAAAAAAACAACATAATTGTATCATAGGCGAAAAATGATTAACAAAAGCTATACATATTAGATATATGTTGAGGATCATGAAGTGGAGGGATGGTTTGTCCCTCCATCTCCCCCAGGACTGCCTGGGTTCGATCCCCCCTACTGTGATAGGAGGGGCACCTCGTTCTTACCTTTTGAAAAAAAATATATTACATATGTGCTTGTAAACCAAACTAAGGATGTGTTTTACTCACCTGATTTTCACTGAACTTATTAAAATTTATTTTAGTTATAATTTATACACGGATAACCCTTATACTTATTAAACCTAAACTGAACTTATCTGAAATTAGGTTAACTTATCTGAACTTTTGTGAAAATAATGTGAATAGAACAAACCCTAAGCAAACAACATAATCTAAAGAACTAAAACAACGAAAGGATCAAAGGAGTATATATATCAAATACCGTATTACCAATTCGAAAAACAGATAGAAGTTCAATCTATATATAATTATCAACGTACAACAAAACAAATTCTAACAATCACTAATACTAATATTTTTAGAAGTTATTGTCACATTCCAAAGTCCAAAGCAACTATGACTGAAATTCTTTATAAAATTTAAAACTCTAGAATCAATCAATCAAAGCCTTAATCCCATGATCAATCAAAATATTACATAAACGAGTCCTAACCTTTGAGAAAATAAAAGCAATGCGAAGAATAGAGGATGCTGAATTGATGTTGACGACGACGAGGACGGGAGCGCTAGGGCGTTGAAGTTATTTGTTTGTTTGTTGACAAATTCCAAAAATTTGTTACAATATCTTCTAGGGATAAGACTTGGAGCCCAAGTAAAACAACTAATAAACCTAAAGATTTAAATAACTAAAATAGTATCTAATACTGTAATAAGAAAACTAATTGCTACGGAGTACGTATTTAAAAGATAAGATAGAAATTTTCCAATCACAATCGATTACAATATTTTATAAATATATACAATACAATATATAATGCATTCTGGTTTGTGACCGTGTCAATATTCAATAGATATGAAATTAATAGTATTAAAGTGTTTTACAAAATATACTTATTTACAAAATACGGAGTAATTTTGTTCAATTACTAGAAAATCAAATTATACCATAAAATTAACCGTATAATAGTAAGTCATACTACGTACAATTTCAGGGTTTTTCAGTTGCTAAAAATTAATTTTATCAAATTTAACAATATTTGAGTTTCGAAGATTGGATTTTTTTTTTTTTTTTTTTTTTTTGCCTTTGAGCTATAATGAGTTATAGGTCGTAATGTGTTTATCAGTTTATCACATTTATCACATTACGAAAACTCAACCATGTCAATTAGCATATTTTAAAAAACAATAACAAGTGACTTGTCTTTCAAACTAAATTCCATCCAACTTTTTTACTCGTATTTATTAAAATTATGACCAATATACTCATATATAGCGCAAAAAGTCAATAGAAAATCTACTGTTTTGAAGTCTGCCACCGACTTGATAATGCTGAACTATATAAAGTACACGGTAGCTGAACTCAAGTTCACTTGCCACGATACATGGACATGTAAATGAACTACAAGCGTGAGTGCACGAAACACCATTTTGGACCGAAACATGGATATGTTTCATCAACCACAGCTAAGTTGAATCGGTAAACATGTATGAAGTTATTGTGACAAGTCAATGGACTAAAACATGTAGATGAAGAACATCCAAATTATATACTTGGGGACGATTTAGATTCAAAACAGCAGCATTTCACGTTTCAAAATAATACTTGGCAGTTGGCACTAGGTATAAAACAGTTTGCACCAAAATATATCAAGCACAACATTTTATTCGGCCCCATTAGCAAGAACATTCTAATCTAATTCTGATCCATGTCAAAATTGGCCAAGGCCAAAATCCACTCAAACAGTCACACTAAAAAGAACGATAAACATGCAGCATAAGAAAACCTCCTGTTGCAGAATTAGTCAAAATAGTAGAGATCATATGCTTCAGAGAATATTAGTACAAAGGCTAGCAGAAACAGGAATCAGTATACGAGCAGGACGATAATAAATTGCCACCCTCAAACAACCTCTTCCAATCATTCAGTCTCCTAAGCTTCAAGAAACAATGGCCAACATACAATTCCATAGAGTCCTGCAAGGATGGTATCAAACAACAGAGCATCAGAATTTGGCTGGTGATGAGAGCAAATCAATTAATACAGAAATAATATTATTAATAACAGTTAAGGGTAACTTGTGCGGTCTTGCTTAAGGACAGTGAGGGTACGGGAAACAGATTAATTAGCTGTAAAGGAAAAACCTACATGACATTCACATCAATCATCCAGGAATAATTTGTTGACAGATTTCTGCTCCTTGTCTTTCACGGAGACTAGTTTCTCAATCCTTGGGTGATAATAGCTAGGTCCCCTCTGAATTTGATATCCAATACTGCATTTTTCCAGAGGAAAAGGTGATGAGTAATAACCACATGACAGGATCACAGGCAGAAAACACAAGGCAACCAGAGTCAAAACCTTGCAGCATCCCAGTGCATCCGATGCTGGAAACAACAAGTCCAAAGGGTAGTGACCATAAACTCCTGTAAAGACAGATTTCAAACACAAGGATTTAAAGTTTTAAACTATGGCTGGTGGAAAAGAATATAAACACATTTGTAGCATAGGATAAAAAGGAAACATGTTCCTACGACAATTATATGACCCTAATGGTAATTATTTATTCACCAATCATCAACATCTAAGGCAAAAATCCCTCAATAAATAAATTACTTACAAATATCTGTAACTAATTCACGGCGTCCATTATTCAACAATTGAATAATTATTTTTCTCAAAACATATTGGTAAAGGTATCATCATAACCCTTAAAAAAGGTTTGGATTCCAAATACTATAGCTTAAAAACAGTGTTCGGTCTACTTCGCCCTCAACATCTTCTTGGACCCTTTTGCCCTCAGACTCCCTTTTGGATACACATCTGTCCTTTCCCTTGCTTTCCACCTCACCATTGCTTCTCCATTCATCTCATCCTCTCTCTCTCTTTTGTGCCCTCCTTTAGCTTTCTTGATTTCCTTCCATCACTCTTCTTGAGTTCTCTCTCATATATCCTTTTGCATTCCTTGGCAAGGTCATTTCCAATTTTAAAATCTCTTATTCTTCCTCCCTACATATTCTTCCTAGGTGAAAGAAAATAATACACAAGTTTTATTCTAGTGAATAACAAACCTTGGTAAAAAGTGAAAACCCCATCAATCATCCAGGTAATAATAAGTCCCTGCTGTTTTCTGCTCCCTGTCCTTCGCAGACTCTAGCTTGTTAATTCTTGGGCGATAATTAGTTGGGTCCCTTCTAAATGTGATATCCAGATGCTGCAATAAAAATGAATAAATAAATAAATAAAGTTGATAGAAGTTATAACTGTGAACCAAAATTCAAACTGTGAACCAAAATAAGATCGAAAAATATGCAAACTATGCAAAAGGCATTGCAAAGAGTCCAAAATACCAGGAAAGGCTATGTTGATAAAATCCAACCACAATTGATACTTCATAACTTTGTGGATTCAGGTGATATTCAATAAAGTTTTGAAATAGATATGCATGTATAAAAGAAAAGAAGGGAGGCTTACCGATAAGAAGAGATTCATTCCATTCAACAACGATTGGGGAGAATTGGCAGTACAATCTACCGATGGTATCCCCTCATAAACAACTACTCTGTCTGCTAAATATGTTGCCATTATAAAATCATGTTCAACAACAAATGCAGTCTTCTTGGCATGGAGAATAAATCTCTTTATCACCTTTGAAGCCACTATACGCTGTTCGGAGTCCAGATATGCACTTGGTTCATCTATCAAATAAATATCTGCAGGCTGCATAAGTACAAAATCATTAATCACAAATTGTGCCATCTTATGATAGTTACGAAACATAAAACTCATCCGTTCACTAAGTAGAAAACAAGGATCCATCACAAGATATATGATAAACAACGTAAAGTTTAAAGACCTCCTGTCATCTACAACTAAAGAACATGCATCTACACAAATTACTACAACATATTTCTACTGATCCCACATGTATATCATGCAACTGTAACAAAGGACTGACACAATAGAAGGCAGGACAAAGAAAAAGAGACAGGAAACCAGAGGAAGAACTATACCTTTCCCAGACACAAAGTTAATGCAACTCTTTGCAACTCTCCACCAGATAGATTCACAACCTCTTGATCCATTAACTGCTCAATCTGAAGAGGCTTCATGACATCTGAATTAAATTGAGGATGAGTATATGAATCCCTTATCTTCTGATGCAAAAGAGCTCTCACAGAGCCTAGAAATTTTGGACTGATTTTCTGGGGCTTGTAAGAAACGTTAAATTCAGGTACATCCACATCCGAAGATTCCACATCATCAGGCTTTAGTATACCAGCCTGAAAATTCACAATTGAAAGTGTATTCATATCCAAAGCCCTTCAACATAAACCTTGACGTTTGACAATTTTTATTCATTTTCTCTAACCAGGCGGCAACCCGCAAATAAATATTTTTTAAAAAAAAAAATCAGATCTGTTCAGCTTGCAGTTTTTATGTAAAGAGAAATTACCAGCATACGGATAAATGTTGTCTTCCCTGTTCCATTTTCTCCCAGCATCACAATAATCTGTGAATCTGTAAATTCACCTTCCTTGACACACATTTTAAAACCACCGAGAGTTTTTGTCATTGTTGGGTATTTGTATCGAGCATATGTCTCAACCTCCTCAGCATTATCTTGAGGTGTCTCGGCAACCTAAGAAAATCACACATGAGATGACTGACATGTATAGAGAGCAGCCAGAAGATATGCATTGTGAAGAATACCTTAAATGTAAGAGATTCATCTCGGAAACGGAGATTTTCAGTGGGAACAAACCCTGCTAAGAATATATTGATTCCTTCTCTAACAGAGAATGGCAAGGTCACAACTCCATATGCACCCGGTTTACCATATAAGCAGCAAATGAAGTCTGAAAGATAGTCTAGAACACTAAGATCATGCTCCACAACTATAACATAGCTGAAAACACAAAAATTAAAAAGAAAAAAAGAGCTTGAATTAGTTATCTTCCAGTAGAAAGCCCTGAAATCTTCACAAAGATCAAATATTGAAAGATACCTTTTGGGGCTCAGCAATGATCTAATAACTCGTGCAGCTTTGAGTCTCTGCT